GACCCCCAGTACATTTTTTAGCAGGCTGGCCAGCAGCCAGTCCTGGCTCATGCTGGGTCTGGGACATACTGTTACTGTGGCTCTACATTTAAAGCGTATTAAGAGCCGGGCAGGCAAACAGCCCAGCTCAGTTCCAATACAGAGGCAACAGCATGGAGGAGCAGAGGGCTCTGTGGGAGTGAGGCACACTGGCTGCTGGCCCCGCCCCCAGGGACTACAGAATAGTCAACTAACCGATAAGCATTTGTGAGGTTACTCAACTATTCAATTAACCGATAGTTAGCATCCCTAGTCTGTATGAACACCAGCACAAAATCTACTGAAACAGATGAGGTTTTGTAAAGTATGCATCTAAAACCACAAACTGGTCCAACTTAATGGAAACTGAGGCTGATAAATGTTGAGTGAATATTTAATATTCTTTACATCATAATCAATATGACTTCAAGATACAATTGACTATCTAATGCAGTGGTTCCCAACCATTTTTATACCATGGACTCAGCAAGCCCATTCAAAACTGGTAGACCGGTAACATTATATTTGCATATGCATTATGCAAATAATGAATATGCAAATATGAATGCAATGTTGCGTGTCCAACTAGCCCCAACCCAGCCCCTTGCTCCCCATTGCCTAACACCCTTTGACCCCCACCCCTACTCCCCATTCCCTTTGACTCTAACCTCTGACTCCTACAGCCCATGCCAACATCCTCATGGCCCTGTGACCCTAACACTCTCTCACCCAACACCCCTTTTCCTTTTGACCCCACCCCACTCTCTCACTTCCCAGAGTGAAGCTGTCCCCTCTAGGGAGAATGGCCGTTACTGCCACATGGGCAGGGGGCAGGCATTGGCAGTGCATGTGCTCTCCCCATCCCCTCCAAGCGCGTCTCAGGCCCCCATGGGTAGTGGCAAGGGGGGAGCAGGGAGCCCCAGCTGGGCCGCCATCTTACCTGGGCAGAAAGGGGAGGAAGAAGGGAGGCACCTCCTGCTCCACCTCCTCCTGCCGCTGCCTGAGCCCCAGAGCTGCTGCCGGGCAAAATCAGCATGGCTGCCGGAGCTGAGCCACCATGAACAGCTGGCTTCAGCCCCCATGGCCCAGCAGCTAGCGGTTCGCAGACCGGCACTGGTCCATGGTCTGGCCGTTGGGAACCACTGACCTAAGGAACTCCTAGTTCCATGTCTCATCTTCCACACTGTGAATGCCCATAAAATTAACAAATGCTGTGTTACTTTGCAATTGTGTAACAAAAAGTTGAGGTTTTAATATGAACACACACACACACACACACACACACACAAAATAAGAGCTAATAAGGAATGAGTAAAAGAACTACTTAAAAATAAGTAGGGGCAATGAACTGCCATCACTACAATAAACATCTCCTCTCTGCCAATAGGCAAAGGCAGTTTCACTCATGCGCTATGGTTTCCAGACACATTACTAGTTCAGTTGAAGTGTGCGTTTGGCTGATATGGCCCAGCGATATATGTGTAGCAGTTTCTTTGGTCATCCAGGAGACTCCAGTACCTAACCAACATGGACACACCAGGACCATTAATAGGTAAGTTTTGATCCTATGTCCTAGGGAAAAATCCAACTATCCTACTATAATTACAGCACAACACTGGCACTGGCTTCATTCGGTTATAATTCTCCAACCACGACTGATCACACCCAGCAGCCAAAGAATGTGAAAGCACAAAGCAAGCTCTTCTAGTATTGGGGAATCTCTCTTAGCAAAATGGTTTTTCATACAGCTCCCCTACATGTTGGCTACTAAACTCTGCTTTTATTTACAAAAGTAACACTTCTCCTGTGCAATGGCTGGAGGAATGCCAATGTAAGGAGATCCTTGTAAACATGGGTGAGGCCCCAAAGGGACAAAATCAAAAGAAACACACACAGCTACCTCTCAACAGAAGAAAGAAAGGGAAGGCTACAACAAAAAACAGAACAAGTAAAATCCCCAAGGATCAACTAATTACAGGAGCCAAAGAATGTAAAAACAGAGCTGGTCAAGTTAAAATGAGGGAACTAGGGATGTAAAGGGTTAACATCTGCCCTACCAGGGTAACCAGGTTAACCGGCGGCCAAGCCAAGCTGGAGCAGCCCACCACCTGCACCTGCCTTGCTGGGCCCACCACACCACTCCAGCTCAAATGGGCCCAATGCACTACAAGCAGGGGGATGGGCCAAGGCAGCCCCTGCCCATGGGATCCTGATTAAACATAATATTTAACCAGTTAACTTTTTTAAACAGGTTTGTACAACCCTAGAGGGACTCCGAGATGCCTCTCAGAGGATTTCTCTGAGAAAGCATCTGAACATTCAGGGGATGCTGGTGGATGTGTGATCTAATGGAAGAAAGGAAATAGGATTTCTTTGTGACATGTCACCACCACTGATCCACCTCCTTAACTCAAGGAACTAGACTGAGGCAGCGTGAAGACTGGAGTCCTCTCTTTCTCCAGACAAGTGACAACATTACAGCAAGGTCTCGCCACACCTTGTCTGACAGGGGTCACTCTAGCTAGGGTTGCCAGGTGTCCGGCGTTAAACCGGACAGCTCAGTATTTGCACCATCTGTCTGATAAATACATTTGCAATTGTGTAACAAAAAGAAAATACTTACAAAATGCTTTTCCCGGCTCAGCCCCAATGGAAATGAGGCGGGGGAACTGGCAGGGGAGTGGGCCAGAGGGAAGCAGGGAGGGCAGTTGCCCCCAGGCACCATGCTAGGAAGGTGCCAGGCTGGGCTGTGAGTGTGCGTGTGTGTGTGCGTGTGTGTGTGTGCTGGGCGCTGGGCTCAGCTGGGCTGCAGGAGGAGGGAGGTGCC